CGCAGTATAGAGAAAGTCTCGAAATAATAAACATTATCGGAGCATTTGCCAAAACTACTCAATCAATGCCGCTTTTCGTCTGTTCCCCTTTTTTGGCGATGAACAAGTGGCAAAAAGCTTGTTCGCCTTTTGCGCACTATAGTGAAAACGGTAGCAGAGGAATTTATTTTAGGATGAGCACGTCAGTGAGTCCATAGAGTTGGCCAGTTCTATAGACTGTGACGCTTCTATTTAATCCCTACCGTTCGCCAATCCTTAAAAAGGCCTTCTTAACATCAGTCTAAGACAATGCCGATTTGTGTGAAGAAAAGGCCAACTGAAATGACTGTATCAAGACGCAGGTTTCCATTGTTCTTTACTTTATTTATTACCTCTTTGGTAATCAACTAGTCAGATGATTATTATTCAGTTTTCCACGGGAACGCCAAACACACTTAGACTTCCCACAAGCACAATTACGTTATTTTTGTCTTCTTGCTGCTCAAAATGCTAATGAAGAATAATCCTATAACTTGCTTTCATAATTTATCTAGGTATAATGAATCTGGAAGATAATTATGATAGTGATACAATAGACGAAGATCTGGAGGCCAATCTCTATGCGTCCGTGTACTTCGATAACACAGTGGAGCAGCCGAGTGAAGCCGCGTTGCAGACTCCCAATCACAAATTTGCAGATCAGGACTCTCAGCGAGCAGATAATTTATCTAAAAATGTTACCAGTACGCCCATGCCTCTTCAAGGAACCTTCATTGATTCGCCTGCTAGTATTTTTCCTGAGTCATTTACTTGGAGTTTTCCACCTGAACTGGAAAAAACTGTCACATCTCTGTCATTGGTAGCAGATGCCATCTACCTGAATCTCACTGGTGAACTGCCGCCATCAGTCAAGCAATCGTTTGCGCAGAAGTGTGGACGATCATTAGGCCATTCTTTCTCAATGGCCGCTCCTCCCACTCCACTCAGCTCATCTAGGATAATAAACGGGTCTCCTTCCGACACCAACCCGAGGTTCTCACGGTCGAAAAGAGTCTCATTCGATATGGCTTCTAGCAGCGACGAGGACTCCGATGAAAAGGAGGACTTACAATCTGACCCCGACACTTCGGACATTATTCTCGGAGTTTCAAATATGTCCAGGAATGTCTTTTCAGCTCCCAACGACGATGTCACCGAGATATCACGCCTTCTGAAACGATCAAGGTCCGAACCCGCCTTTTGGCAGTTAGACAGGGATGACTTGCGTCAAGGTCAGTTCCGGAATAGTCGCTACTATGATGACACAGGGACCTGCTCCATTTGCTTTAAGAAGGGACACAATGCTCGGCAATGTTCGAGGGTAAGTTATTGGTGTTCAAGAAGTTTAATTTTTGTCGGTTTGATTCAAAACAAACTGAGCACCGTTCCTTCTACAGCGCTAGGGTGAGTTGTTCATGTAAAGACAACTGTTTAGCTCCCCTTGCGTTTGTTTTACCTATAATCATTAGTAAAATACGAACCAAGGCGAGGAAATAAAGACAGCCAGAGGTTCGAGAGAACACCCACATCATGTTTTCCTCGTGCTGAATTAGTTGCTCCGCGAGTTGATAAAGTCTAGCTAACGAGGTCACCCTAAATACAGTTAAGCCCGAAGCCATCAGACGTCAAGTGGTAAGGTTACTCCGGCTTAGATATCTGGTGCCTTTTTAGGGCTGTAACTGGCTGATATGCTGCGAATAGACCAGAACTGTCCGCTCTGGTGTCTCCTACCTCTAACATCGATAAAATATCTCATGAACTTGCATTGCTGTCAAGGTAACCTTTTGGTGTATACTCATTAGTTTTTCTGCGATGCCAGTGGCGACTGTCTTTGTAACAACGTTCAAAATGTGTTGGTGCGTCTGCGCTTCTGTGCTCCCTACTGTTGTAGTAGGTAATATTCACAACTACCCAATTAGGGCTATTTCGGTTAGCAGCAGACATGCATTTTTTATGAACTTACGCCTACATTTACTTGTTCGCAATACTGTTCACAGCGGCCGACTGTTTCACTAAACGGCATGCCATCGAATTTAGTACGATCAATTCAGACTTATCGTATTTTCCAGATTATAAGGCGCACCTAAAAGCCTTCAGTTTTCTCAAAAAATGACCCGTAGTGCCTTATATATCGATTAATTCTAGTTACTGATCTCGAAGCGATTTTGTGTGGTATACTTCGCCGCGTTAATCCGTAGTCAGGAGCGTCGCGGAGTAATAATAATATAATAATGACCATAATATTACAGTGTGCGTGTATGGACCCCAAAATGGCATCTGTCAAAAGACAGCCTTACGGTGCGGACTTTAAACTCAAGGCTATCAGTCAAACCGTAGAACATAGAAATATAGCATCTACGATAAAATTCAACATTAATGAATCAGTGGTAAGGACGTAGAAGAAGCAAGCAGATGACCTGCACCAAGTAAAGAAGATCAAATAGAGTTTCAGAGGGGATAAAACGAGATGTTAGAGGACACATTTTAACGGTGAGTTATTGAACAGAGAGCAGCAGTTAGAAGCGTCTCTACAACTTCTACTCGAATGAAGGCAAACAACGTTAGCACGGGACATGAATATAAATGACCTTCGAGGCGGTTCTTCTTGGTGCTTTCGTTTTATGAAAAGACGTAATCTCCATCCGCACACACACTATCGTTTAGCAGTAACGTTTGATTTAGTGGTATCAGACTGCGTCTTTTACGTATTACAACTGAACACGTTTGGGAGTTATTGTCAATACGCTTATTAACCTACTTACTTACTTGTACTTGTAACGGCATTCACCTCGGGCGGGTTGAGCCGG